AAAAAAGATAAATTGTAGCTACCAAAAAACAAAACAGAATCATATAATCTGGTGGGCTTTATCTTAAGAAAGTAAGGATATGAGAAAATATTAACATTATTCACATTAACAGATTAAAGGATAGGTGAGAAAATCTCAATAAATGATTAATAATTTTTAAACTTTTTCTGGTGGATTGAATTCAGGTTTACAGAGCAGATCATCAGCTTTACAGTTAACAGATCACATGGTTGCAATCTCCTCCATATACGAACAGTTAGTTAACAGTATTTATGTCTATTCTCCTTACAGCATTTCTCCCTGTGTCGCCTGTGGTCTTCATCTTTCACCCACTAACCTCTCTCTTGTATATTGCCTGCCCTGCCATCCATGTAACATGTGTCTACCCCCTAGCAGATGAATAATTTTCCCTCCCTTAAAGAGGAAGACTCTCAATGAGATGGATTGGCCAGGTGGCAAGCATGGCAACAGTAGTGAGGGTGGCCCAGGATCGGGCAGTGTTTCCGTCTGCTGTGCATAGGGTTGCTATGAATCGGTGCTGACTCGATGGCACCTAACAACAACAACATGTAACCATAGTAATTAATAATAGCATAACTACCATTTATTGACTTTTTGATGTGCTATGCTTTCATTATCTTATATAATTATAAAATCGGCTCTATAGGTATCTTTGTCCTCTTTTTAACTTCTTTTTAACTTATCAAAGGTCACATAGCTAGTAAATTAGGAGAGCCTAGAACTACAACCCGTCTGTATAACTCTCAAAATCTATCATGATTTTATACTCACTTCCAGCAATTGTAAAGTACACAAAGATAATAACTCCTTCCTTCTGACCTCGTTTCTTTTTACTTTGTTATTATAGAAACATCATTCACATACCCTGACGTTTTAAAGACAGTGATATATACATGGTCCCAAAAGAGTTTCAAATTTTTCTGAAATAAATTTAGGTCCAAAAGATTGATGGCTGAACCACAACTTAGCAGAGGTGCTTGAAGTCCTGGCTGCCAGCAGGGCTAAGGCTGAGCGAGGCCCTAGGGTTCTGAAGGGGCCATAGTACCCAGTCCTGCTCTGTTTGCGCACTGCCTCCTGGGAGACCGTGTCCTGCGTGGGCTGAGAAGCCAGGCGTTGACCTGTAAGAGACCATGTCTCTTGTGTGCTAGTGAAATGGAGGTACAGAAGAAAAGAGGTGTGATTCCCTAATTTGGTGAGAGAGAGTGGATATCATCTTGTACATTCCACTTTCTTCAGTTTTGCTCTTGAAAATGGATTTCATGTTCTTCATAGTAACAGCAGCAGGAGCGATAGCCACATTTGTGGCTGCTGCTCTTGCAGCATTGGTAGTAGTAAAAAGTCTAAGTTCTTTTAACAAACGGACATCTGGGAACAATGAGGGCAGTAAAGAATCTGGTGAAAGTCCTATGTCTACTTTCAAGACAGCAAGAAATATGGAACAGGAAACACTCAAAAAGTTGAGCAAGAAGGAACAACACACCCAAACTTCGTAAGTGTGAACTTCGTAACTTGGTTAAATTGCAGGCTGGCAACACAATATTCAAGAGGGAAGACAGCTGAGTCACACCAGGTTCCTTTTCTGCGGGACAAAGGGCAGCAGCAGCTGGGAGCCAAGGCACAGGCTTGACTGGTGTCATGGTGACAAACAAACTTAAGGTCACTTTCTTGTAAAACTGGTTTTCAGAGGTAAGGGACAATAGAAGAGTTTAGAATGATGTAAAGGAACATTTGTTGTTGTGTGCCCTCAAGTCAGTTCTGACTCATAGCGACGGTATATTGGGTTTCCAAGGAGCAGCTGGTGAGTTTGTTTAACTGCCGAACTTGTGGTTAGCAGCCCAGTGCTATCCTACAGCGCCACACCAGGATTCCTATATGAGAAGAAAATCGTCAGTGTGTCTGGTTTATTGACATTAGTTGGGCTTTTGATGTTTCAAGCCCTGGAAGGAAGTAGGAGAAGAAGAGGAGAAAGAAAAAACCCTGAAATTCATACAATCGAGTTTCATAAGAAAATGCAGCTTGTGAAGCAAAAAGGACTTCTTTCCTAGGGGATCGCCGGCGCCCCTTGGTGGCGGCCGCGCGGCACAATGGGCGCCACATCACAGAGCCGGGCGCGGCATACGGCACAGGGTCCGCGGCAGGGTGCGCGCTGCAGAACGCGCTGGCCGGCGGCACATGGGCCCCTCGGGGCGGCGAGACCGGCGGGTGTGTGCGCAGGCTGCGGGTGTGTGCACGGGCGGGCTACGAGGGGAAGAGGCAAGGTGGCGGCGCTGGGTTCGGGTTTGCGAGGCTGTGCGCCTGGCTTTGGGCAAGTCTCAACAATTCCCAGCCGCTGCAATCGGCATGCCTCTAGTTGCCACAACAACCAACAAGGGTGCTTCCAAACACGTTTGCAAACCCTCCTAGCTGGCGGCCACCTCTCGGATAACCCAGCCGCAGTGCGCCCAGCTTCCGCGCGATGGCGAGCGAGTGACTCCACTTCCCCTCCTCTTCCCTCTGCTTCTCTCCTGCTCCGCCTTCCCCTTCCTCCCACTCCCTGGCTGGCCCAGCTGCCTCCATTTTCCAGATCTTTCTCGAACCCGCGGCTCTTCGGGCAGCCGTTGCCCGAGTGCTGACGACAGCGGTCGAAACCGAGGCTAGAAGCAGTTTCGGGCCTGGAGTAAGAGGCTCGCGCTTCCCACGGTGACCGAGCGCGCAGGCGCAGACCCCAGTAACTGCCGGTTAGAGGCCGCCGAACCGCAGTGGGAGAGACTCAGGCAGCGGGACCCGGCGGAGGCTGCGGCGCAGGCGGACGCTCCCCCCTCCTGGCTCCCCGACGCCCTGCCCTAGATTTCCTGCGTAGCGATTTGGCGTCATCCCTCCTTTGCTTCTCGTAGGAGTCGCAATTCCAGCAGCAACAGACCAGGAGAGGACGCGAATCCCGCACCAGAGACTTCAGCACCAGCACCCCGTTCATCAGGCGGCGGGATGTCTGTGGTTGGCATTGACCTCGGCTTTCTCAACTGCTACATTGCTGTAGCGAGGAGCGGCGGCATAGAGACCATCGCCAATGAGTACAGCGACAGATGTACACCGTAAGCACCTCTTCTGACCCAAACCCCAACCCTAAGAAACATTTTCTCCCGACCCTGCTGTTTGTCCTGCCTGCTGCGTTTCTCTGCTGACCCCTTGGAAGCGCGCCGAGCGAGCCCTGCTATATGGCAGGTGCAGCCTCTGCAGACCGCGGGTTGCGGGCCTGGGTGGGGAGCGGACCAACTCGCCTGGCAGAGCTGCACCTCCTTCAAGGGCAAGGGACTTCACCCTAATAGTTGGCTAGTTGGCGTATCTCTTCTGTACCCAAACCACCTCCACCATCCCCGTCCCCACCCCCGCGCCACTGTCCCTGGTTTCCCAGCTTTAGGTGGCGTGGCGGGAGAAGAGTGGTTAGGGAGAGACCTCCGCATTCCCAGCCTTAGAGATCTGGGGTGGCCGCTTGTGGGGCTTGTGTCGGCTCGGATACACATCCTGAGCTGGCGGAAAGGAGAGTTCTTCATTCATTCCGCCCTTCCTCCTTTCCCCACCCCTCTGGGTCATTTCAGATCAGTGACAAGTGAAAACTTACATTTACATCAGAAGATGAGTTCATCTGGCCCCAAAAGCCATATGAGGGGCGGGAGGTGGAGTGGTTGGTGACAGTTTTACCCCAGTGTCCTTGAGTAATCAGATTGGTTGCCAGGGGCAGAGACTAATGCTACTTTTTCGTTAATAGAGCAAGAATCGGTTGGAAACTTTGGTCTTATGTATTGGTTAATTTGTAAATTAAATGAAAGTCATAGGGTTTCAAGCAAAAAAAGCGTATTGCTTGAGAATGAACTGATAGAGTCAGGGAATTATTCTGTGTTAGTATGACTGCAGAGTGGGTCTGTTAGAACACTTGATGAAAGACATGGAAGAGGTGGCATTAGATCATGGAAACATGTTCCCACATGTTCCATTGTTTTCCGTTTTAGGAAGGTGGTTGGCAGAGAATATAATTAAGACTGGGATATGAAAAACTAGCTTCTTGTTGTAGGCTCTTGTTAGCAATTTTATGAGGAAGCCAACTGTTAATGTATTGCTTTCTATGGAACGCTATTAAACATTAATTTGACCTTTCAGAATGGTGCAAATGTAAAACTTGTATTTAAATGAGGCCAATCTTAGCCAAGGTGTTTGTTAAGCTAAACCTTCAAAAGTTACTACAATTTTACAGATAATTTAAATTCTGCATTGTGAGGCTGTTGTTAAAATATAGCAAGGGGGTGTTGAGTAGATTGAAGAAATCTGTTTTTATTTTTCTTTCAAAGAGCATTTATAGCACCTTAATCCTCAAATAAGGGCATAGGTCAGGTACGCGTCATGGTAGTTGTTAGAATATGTTTCTTCCTTTTGAATCCTTTTCCTGGCTTTATGCACAATGAGACATAGAAGTTGTAATGGCAAATTATTTATGAATTCATGTCTACAAGATTGTTTTAATAACATTATAGGCCATAGTATTATATACAAGGTTATGCCAGAAAAGGACCAGCAAATCCACTCTCCTTTCAGCAGAGTAGAGGTTAATGGAAGATGTATTTGACTTCAGGTTAATAAACCTATGGAAAAAAGTGAGAGATAGGGTGGGCATTCTCCTAGTCCTTCAAAGTCCTTAAAGCTATCTCCTTAAATATGAGAAACCAGAACTGCAAAAAAGATATCTGCATTTCCAGGCTCAGAAATCTCTTTACTAGAGAATCTATGGTACTTTAAAAACCTGGCCAGACTTGTAGTTGTTAGGGGCCAAACTTGAGAATTCCTTAAAAATTAGGCCATTCACTTGAGTTTTCTGAAGTCTTTATGTTATTATTCTTGGGCACTTAGGCATATAGGCTAATTCTTTGTGACTGTGATTTGATAGGATATTTCTGAATTGTGTGTAAGAAGGTCAGTACTAATTTTTAGATTAACTGAACATATTCCAAGCTAGAAATTTCCAAAGGTGAAAGGATCATGTTATTACTTAGTTTGCATTAGCAACTCTGTCCTTCTCTGTATTGGTAATGTAGTACATAATTACTGCTATTTACCCCAGGAAACATCTTTTAGTATTACTGAAATTTACAGTGGTGGTTATGTGCCGTGGAGTTGGTTCCGGCTCATAGCGACCCTGTACAAGTTTTCCAAGGCTGTAAATCTTTATGGGGGCAGAAAGCCTCACTTTCTCCTGCAGTACAGCTGGTAGTTTTGAACTGCTGATCTTGAGGTTCACAGCCCAATTCGTAACCACTACACTACCAGAGAGCTCCTTGAACTTTATAGTAGTCCCAGGTTATTACACTGTGTGTGTATTTTTGTGGGGCTCAAATTATTGTGAGAAAACAACTTTCTGATCCCAGGATGTTTATTTATTGACATTTATTGAGCGCCTATGGAGGTTGGGGGTTCAAGCTCACCAGCCACTCCTTGGAAATCCTACACAGGGTTACTAGGTTCATTGCACGTGACATCTCATGCATAAGTTGAAAATGGAAGGAAATCAACATCATTGATAAATAGAAAAGGCAAAAGATAAACTTAAAAAAAAAATTACTACACATGTCCATTGTAGAAAATAGACACATTAAAAGATGAAAATAAGAATCATAATTCCTACATCCAGAAATGAAACTTACAGATTTTTTTTTTTTTTTTGCGTATGTTTTCAAGGGGAAGAAAGTAGATTATTTCTTTTTTTTTTTTTTTATCATTACCTTAATTCAAAGGTACTCTGGTAGCATAGTGGTTACGAGTCAGGCTGCTAACCTAAAGGTCAACAGTTTGAAACTACCAGTCATTCTGTGGGAGAAAGATGAGACTTTCTGCTCCTATAAATATTTGTTGTTGTTCTTATGTGCCGAGGAGCCGGTTCTTACTCATAGTGACCCTGCACAGGGTTTCCAAGGCTGTAAATTTTTACAGGAGCAGAAAGTCTCATCTTTCTCCCACGGAACAGCTGGTAGTTTCGAACTTGTAAATATTTACAGCCTTGGAAATCCTACACAGGGTACCTATGAGTCAGAACTGACTCCACGGCACACCACCACTATCTTAATTCAACCCATTCCCTATTGGACATTCAAGATGTGTATATTTTGTTCTTATAAATAGTACTACAGTAACTGTCTTTATAATTATACCTCTGATCCTAAATTCCTTCAACTAAATTCTTAGAAGTAGAATTATTAAGAGCACATATTTACGGTCTTGGACATGTTTGTATTAGTAAATTAAGTATAGATGTGCTGATTGGAATTTCCATTTCAGGTTTAATTACATCAAGGTGATTAGTTTCAGTCATTGGAAAAGAAAACTTTATCCAAGACTCCTAAATTCAATATCAGATTTAAGTTTGTGGTAAACTATAATGTTGCTTGTGCCAATAATAGTAGTTACTATGTGTCAAGCTTTTTGCTTACACTGTTACACTTACCACAGCAGTTCTGCAAGGTAGGTAATACTGGCTATCTTGTATATCTTTTATTCATAAGAAGCCTAAAAGTTAAGTAACTTTGCCAAGAATAAATAGTAAGTAATGAAACTGATTCTGTTTCAGGTCTCCCTGACTCAAGAATTCTGATGTCTTTCCATTGTCCATTGGCATGTACATGGATAATGTGTACATGTTAGTTTAACAGGGAGTCTTACTGTGGTGCTGTAGGATAAGCACTAGATTGCTAACCACAGAGTTGGCATTTCAAACCCACCAGTCACTTCTTTGAAACTTTATATGGGGTCACTATGAGTCAGAACCCGCTCAACAGCACTTAACAACAACATATCAAAGGGACACATTTGCCAGGGCAATTATTGTACAGGAAAGTATCTTTGCTTTGCCATCAATAAACTCATCTATTTTTACCCATTTCTAACAAATGTTAATCTTGTTGAGTGTTGTTTTAACGTGCATTAAATTAGTTTAAGAATATATTAGAATTCATTTAAAATATATACGTATATTTATACATACATACTTACATAATCTGTATATATCCATTGCTGTTGTTAAGTGCCTTCAAGTTGGTTCTGACTGATAGCGACCCTGTATAGGGTTTCCAAGGAGCAGCTAGTGAGCTTGAACCACCAACCTGCAGTTCAAACATATATATATAATATATGGAGTCCTGGTGTGATGCTATGGGCTAATGTGTCAGACTGCAAGTCATTTGAACTGCAAGGTCAGTGGTTTAAGCTCACTAGCTGCTCCTTGGAAACCCTATACAGGGTTGCTATGGGTCGGAATCGACTCGACGGCACTTAACAACAACAACAACAACAACAACAACAATTCACTTCTGACTCATAACGACCCTGTATAGGGTTTCCATGGAGCAGCAGGTGAGCTTGAACTGCCAATCTTCTGGTTCAAACAAACCAGTGCATTAACCTACAGCACCACACCCTATACAGGGTTGCTATGGATCAGAACTGACTCAGTGACACTTAACAAAAACAACAACATATATGTTAACAAAAGCACGTTAGTATAAATGAAGAAAAGCAGTGTGAAAGACTGTAAAGTACTATTAACAATGAATATTTCTTGGAAGTAAAATTATGGCTGTTGTTTTTGATAATTGCTCTTGAGTTGGTTCTGACTCATAACAACCCTGTGTAGGGTTTCTGAGGAGCAGTTGGTGAATGTGAACCACCAACCTTGCAGTTAGCAGTCCAGTGCTTTTCCTTCAGTGTCACACCAGGACTCTAAAATAGGGGATGGTGCTGCTCTTAGGTGCCATCGAGTTGGCTCTGACTCCTAGGAACCCTGTGCATAACAGAATGAAGCATTGCCCTGTCCTGTGCCATCCTCACTGTTGTTACGTGTGAGCCCATTGCTGCTACTACTTTGCCAGTCTGTCTGGTTGGGGGTCTTACTCTTTTTTGCCTATCCTCCACTTTGTCAATCATGATGGCCTTCTCCAAGGAGTGATCCCTCTTGATTACATGTCCAAAATATGAGATAAGAAGTCTCTCCATCCTCTCTTCTAAGAAACAGTCTGACTGTACTTCTTCCAATACAGATTTGTTTGTTCTTCTG